TCGAGTCACCTCCGCCGTTGCCCATCCCACCTCCACTGTCGAGCCCACCGGGCTGACGGCGCGCTTCCCTAACGCCCGTGCCTCAGGCGTGTCACCCTCGGCCCTAGGGCCGACGATTGCCAGCCCCGAGGCGCCCTCCCCTCCTCCTCCCGGAGACGCCGGGCCGCTCGTCGATGCCCCGGGCGCTGTCCCCCTGACGTCAAGGAGGTAGTCCAGGGGGACCCCGCCCCGCCTCGCTGTTGTCGTCATCACCGCCCGAAGAGTCTGTCGACAGCGACGGTGATGGGGACGCCTCCACCGGAGACCATCCTCGCTCTCTTGCTGCCGACGCGCTTCTCCAGCTCCTCATGCTCGAGGATCTTCCTCTTGCGCTTTGCCTCCTCGGCATCCTTCTTCTTCTTCGTGCCTCGACATGCGCCCGGTTACGCGCCCACCGCTTTGCGTCCCCAGGAACGGTGGCGGGGAGGCTCGCACATCCTCATCCCCTGCAGAAACAGCGAACACGAATAAGGGAACAGGCAACGGTGAGGAACGAGGAGGCCTCGGGGGCTACAGCAGCACGTGACTTACCAGGGAAAGGTACCCCCACGATGGATGCATCTCGATGGGGGTCAGACCACCGATCTTTAGCCGTCCCTCCACCGTATCCCTCACCTGACGCTGAATCTCCTTGTCGGAGAGGGGGACGGTGGACATCCGGATGCCCTCAATCGGCTCATCCGGTGTCATCTCGAACAGGCGCCGCCGCCGAGCCATCAGCGGTAGCACCCTCTAGTGGTGGAAGGCCGCCACAACCACAGCCGCCGTAAGGCTACAGCTGCGTAGCCTCTCCAGCCCCTCCAGGAGCGGCCGCAGCTTGGGCTGATCCTCTTTCAGGACCCTGTACCGCCACTTCTCTGGCTGGCTCTCCACAACCCGCCCAGTGTAGGGGGGAAGTCCGCCATCATCGTTGAGGAGGTAGAACCAGCTGGTGTACCAACGACGGTTGGTCGACGCAAGCTGGGCCAGGATGTAGAGGTGCTGCCGGTCTTGGCGCACTTAGAGAGTGTAGCCGCTGGCCCTCGTCGCCTTCCTCGTGCCCGTCGTGCCCGCCGACTTGGTGGTATGCCCCGCCCAAAAGAGGTGGAGCCACAGCTCCCAATGGGGAGCAATGCCTAGGTACCCCTCGCAGACGGCGACGAAGATGGCCGCCTGCACGATGGAGTTGGGGTTGAGGTTGTGGAGCTCCACACCATAGTAGTGCGGGAGCGCCCGCATGAACCGGTCCGCTGGCATGCCAAAACCGCGCTCATGGAAGGACACGAAGCTCACAACATAGCCACCGCATGGCCTCGACTCCAGCTCGCCCCCTGGAGCAATCCACTCTGGCCTGCTGGGGTCGGTAATCGGGCAGAGGAGGCCACCATCGACAAGCGACTACAGCGTCTCCACAGATACGTCAGACCAATCCCAAGAGTCCGCCTGGAGGACAATAGCGCCACCTGCCATGAGTGCGGCGGAGGATGCGACTATGGTGGTAAGGCTCGCTCTCTCCCTCTCTTCCTCCCCCTTCTCCCTTCTTCTCCCCAACGCTCTCTATTCTTAGCAACAGCTCGAGGGCAGCAAAAGCGAAGGCAGGCAAGGTAAGGAGGAGAGGGGCAAGGCTCGTCACTTATTTATGTAGGAAGGGGGCGAAACGGACGGGCGATGAAATCGGGGAAGTTTCCCTCAAATCTGATACAGTTATCCAGATCCGATTTTACAGCCCACGCGCCCACCTTTTCCTCATTAATCGCACGCACAGTTGCGTCCCATCCACTGACACCGCGTCGCGTCTGACCGCAGCAGCAGCAGGCGCCGTTCCTCCTCCTCGAGAAAACTGCCTCAAAAGGCGTGCCTGCCATTGTCAGCCGACGGGAGGGAAATATCCCCCATCCGATTCCTTTCAGACGAAGGAACTGGGCATCGAGCCTGCTACGGTCCAGGGGTTCGAAGGCTGGGCCCCCAAGGGTTTCGACAGCCACCCCAGGACAATAGAGTCAGGGACAACTATGGGCGAGCCCGTACATGGCCGAGGCCCGAGCAAGCGATCGCTCAGGATGACCTAAGTCGTGTCCGAGACCGGCAGGGAGGTCTCCGAATGGGATCCCACCGTAGGGAGGCATCGAGCCCCCGGGGCCAATCGAACGGCCTTGGGACCCACTAGAGAAGCCCTCTGGTACTTTTGGAGTGCGTCTCTGGACCGCTAGCTGACCCCTATCGAATGGGGCATGGGCCTCCACTCGAACTTACCCAATAATAGCTCACTGGAAGTATCACCGATCTCTCCCACCGAGGCTAGCCTGGCATATTCCACCCCTCCTTCCGAACGAAAAGGATGCGTGAGGGTCGCACAAAAAGCCAGGGGAACTCCTGATCGCCCTCTCGCTCTGTGCAGAGGCTCGGAGGCTCTTCCTGCAACCTTGCCGAGACCCTGCGACTTAGGCTCACACTCGAGGGCTCAGCAAACAACCCCTCCTTCTGAACGAAAAGGATGCGCGAGGGTCGCACAAAAAGCCAGGGGAACTCCTGATCGCCCTCTCGCTCCATGCGAAAGCTCAGGGGCTCTTCCTGCAACCTTGCCGAGACCCAGCGACCTAGACTCGCACTAAAGGGCCCGACAAACAACCCCTCCTTTTGAACAAAAAGGATGCGCGAAGGTCGCACAAAAAGCTAGGAGAGCTCCTGATCGCCCTCTTGCTCCGTGCAGAGGGGGGCTCTTCCTGCAACCATGCCGAGACCCAGCGACCTAGGCTCGCACCCGAGGGCTCAGCAAACAACCCCTCCTTCCGAAAAGGATGCGCCCAGGACGAAGACAAGCAATCTGAACTCACACTCAGGGACTCGGCAAAACGCGACAAGGGGCATCAAGCCCGTAACGGTCCAGGGGTTTGAAGGCTGGGCCCCCGAAGGTTTTGACAGCTGCCCTAGGACAAACAGAGTCAGGGATGACTATGGGCAAGCCCGTACATGGCTGAGGCCCGAGCGAGCGATTGCTTGGGATGCCCTAAGTCGTGTCCAAGACCGACAGGGAGGTCTCCGAATGGGATCCCACCGTAGGGAGGCATCAAGCCCCCGGGGCCAATCGAACGGCCCTGGGACCCACTAGAGAAGCTCTCTGGTAATTTTTGGAGTGCGTCTATGGACCGCTAGCCGACCCCTATCAAATGGGGCACGGGCCTCCACTCGGACTTAGCCGATAACAGCTCACCGGAGGTGTCATTGCTCGCGCCCACCGAGGGTAGCCTGACATACTCCACCCCTCCTTCCGAATGAAAAGGATGCGCGAGGGCCGCACAAAAAAGATAGGGAAACTCCTGATCGTCCTCTTGCCCCGCACAGAGGCTCGGGGGCTTTTCCTGCAAACAAGTCAAGACCCAGCGACCCAAACTCGCACTCGGGGCCTCGGCAAACATGATAAAACCCCTCACTCATCAGGGAAAAAGCCCCTGGAGGAGTGAATCCACTCCTCCAGGGCCTCGGGGGCTACACCCAGCCGGAGGCCACCAAGCACCCACCACCAAAGCCTCGAGCACAAAAAACAAATCCTGACGGGAGCTGCTGCAAGCCAAGTTTCGCCAAAAACCCTCGGGGAGAGTGCTCACACTCCCCCTAAGGCTCGGGGGCTATTGTCGGATACCATAAAAGGGGGTACCCTAAGCAAGAACCGAAAAAATTTCTTAGATCTTGCAAATATCAAAGCCAAAGGACAGCCACAAGGCCTCGGCCAATTTTCCGATTCGCCCGAGGCCCGCGCCGCAAAGGCCTCGAACGAAAAACCAACTCTTCGCCCCGCCGAGGCCCTACCCCGCAAGGCCTCGGACGGGTTACCAGTTCTCCGATTCGCCCGAGGCCCCGCGCATATGGCCTCGGACGAAGCACCGATTCTCCGCCTCGCGCGAGGCCGGCTCGGCAGCAACCTCGCCACCTCTGCCTTGACCAACTCCTCTGACAAAACGTCACGCATCCAACCACTACCGCAACACCAACACTTGTAATAAATGTATTTAGGCCTAGCTCAGTTTTGTATTACTGTATTTAGGTTGATGATACAACCTACTGAACCCTCTTGTACCGCCTTTTTCTGTTGTCTCATCTTCCAGAGGTATTGCTAGCACTAACAGAGCATCTTATAGTTTCTAATATTGCTTTTGCTTAGTGTGAAGTGATTCGTTAATTGCTAGCACTAAGGTGTGATCTCTGTTTTCTCTAAAGTAAAAAGTACATGAAACAATTCTTTGTTGTATACTATTGCTGGGACTGGGGGCAATGTGCCATTTTATACAACACACAATCGCTCACAAACCTCTTACATGAAACGTCTTAAGTATTTCCTGAGAATAGGCACAGTAAATGCTGACTTATGATGTGCTTTTGTAACTATACTTCTGAGTTCAGTTCTAGCTTTTAATTTGAAATACACGACATCTGGTTGTCTTGCAGGTCAGGGAAGACCCAGTTGGCTCATTCCCTATGTGTCTCCACTCAGGTTCGCCCCCCTTATCAAATTTTGTAGATAGCATGTACATATAGAAGAAATAGAGTTTGAGGAAAAAAAGAAGCAACAGAATTGCTTTCTTATTTCTGATCGATGAAAATGCAGCTTCAATCCACATGCATGGGGGAATGGGAAGGTTGCCTACATTGACACTGAGGGAACATTGTATCTTTGGAATTTCATGAGTAATTGTCAAGCTGTTTCTCTCAAAAATTTATATTTATCCCTATCATCTCCAAATTGTTTCCTTAATGAGTTTTCAGCCAACCTGAATGCATTGTGCCAATTGCTGAGAGATTTGGGATGGATGCCAATGCTGTTCTCGACAATGTATGAATTCCATGCATGTAGCATTTCCCATTTCTATTATCCCATTTCACGATTAACAGGCCAAATTGGCTGTCTCATTTTTTTGTAGATCATATATGCTCGTGGATACACCTATGAGCACCAGGACAATTTTCTCCTGGGCCTTGCTGCCAAGATGGCTGAAGAACCTTTCAGGATTCTGGTAGGCATGAAACTGTAATGCGCATTGAGTTTTGATAATGTCAGTTGCGTGCTCATATGGTATTTGTATCATCCTGGAAACAGATTGTGGATTCTGTGATTGCACTTTTTCGTGTTGATTTCAGTGGCAGGGGTGAACATGCAGAGCGTCAGGTATTCTCGTCAATTCATTTTGATGGCAGTAGGCATCTCGTAAAAATGTTGAAGGGTGATGTTTTATCTGCTTGCTTATGTGTACCTGCTGTTAAATTGCAGGAAAAGCAGTTCAATGTTGCAGTGTACATCACCAGCCAAGGTGGGCTTGCTATTTAGCACTGTATCAATTCCAAGAGTTTAAGACCAGTGATCTTCAAATTCTAAGCTGAGTCCCTTTTGTGTTTGCAGTGAATTGCTGATCTTCAAATACCAAGTGAAGTTGGTGTTTTGTGCCGCTTCTGATTCCTCAAAATAACTGATGCATACTGAGAAGGTTCTGAACTATGGATTCCAATTCCCAGATCTTTGTTCTGTTTGTCTGAATTCTTGTTGCATAGTGGTTAAATTGGTATCTTGTTTGTGGCGCTTGCATGCTAGCTTTCATTCTGTTGTTGTAAATTATGGGTCGTCATGCAGAACCTTACAGGAATCCAAGGTTTATTTGAAGCAAAAGTTGATGAGATCTGCGAGGCAGCTAAAGAACTTCTAGTCTGACCCTTTAAGCTGCCTTTGCTTACTAAACTTCCATGCAATCAGTTCTGTATGATATGGTATCTTGAAATTCTCTTCTTGTTTGTTTCTCACAGAACCAGGGTTTCATGACAGGAAATGATCTCCTTAAGGTAAGAAGATTGCATTAAGCTACTAATCGTTGTATGGTTTACCAGTTTGGTGTGTCCGATGAGTGATAACCAATGCTTGACCACTTGTAGTATGTAAACTAACTGACAAAGGTTGATTAGTTATTGAATCTTGTTGAGCTGATTAGTTATTGAATCTAGTTGAGCACTTTTAATTACTTCTCATACGCATTGTCCCTTAAGGCTCTTTGATTTATTTTTGCTTATTTGAAGCGAAATCTTTTGTTCGGATTACAACTGGGAGCCAAGCACTTGGTAGATGAGCTGCTTGGCGGTAATATATCTGAAATATGTCGTGTGATCAGTCATGTCATCATCATAGTATTTATTGCTTTACCTGTTTGCAATATGTATTTATTGAAGTTTTTATTTTTGCCAGATCCACGTGATGATCTGGGTGGAATGGATGTGGCTAGAAAGGTTAGATACCTCACAATTTTCACATTCAATAAACTGTTTTCTGTTTTATATTTCTTTTCCTTGCCTAAGTGAACTCTTGTGTATTGCATGAACTGCTACAGTGTTGAGTTTATTTGTGTCCTTCTAGAATTTGATGTGAAAAATCACGTAACATAACCATTATCACAAACCGTGTCACCTGTTGAGGTAGGTTGTGTTGTTCAGTGGCCGTTGATCCTGGCTAGGCTTATGGGGCAACAGATAAGCATGGAGAATATCAATGTATTCCTGTCTGCATTATTTCTTGAGAAACTGATTATTATTTTATATTTGTTAACTTGTTATACAGACATGGTGGTCTGTACACTGGGTGATATTTTCACTGTTATTGCTTATAGATATAGGTGTGCTACTTAGCTGTTAGTTCACTGCTAACAATATCAAGTAGTTTTTTGGGCAAAGTAATCCTGTTCACATATTGTATCCGTGGAAGGTCTGCCTCCAATTCGTTTAAATGATGATGATTGCATTGAGCCATCTCTTAGGCTTGTGGCATGCTTTTCCAAGGCGTAGATTAACTTGTCTGAATTTGTTACATCAATTGTACGCTGATATGCTAAATCTGTAAGAGTAGACGAAATAGTCCCCAACACTTGTAAAGTTGTCGAATAGCTGATTGATTGCACCACTTGTTTCTTGTGGTAGCTGCCAATTTGATTCTTTATATGTCATGAAAGCTTTTCTTTTGACTTTATATGATGAGGGAGCTATTAATATTTTTAATGCCAAAATCAATGGTTACTTTTAATTCCTTTCTCTTATACAAAGCCACACCGTTAATATTATCTCCACTATAATTGAAAACTTGTTTCTATCAAAATCAAATGGTTCATAATAGATCTACGTCAAATCCAAAGGCCCAGAAACGATGTTTGATGGAGGCTTCTCGCACCCCCTCACCGCACCCCCAGCTCCCTTCCCCCTTTACCGCGGCTCGCCTCCATCGCACGTCCGCGCCCCGTAGCCTGCGATACCGCAGACCTTGCCCTCTCTCTCGCTCTGCCGTCACGAGCAACACCGCCGGACGCCGCCGCCTCCATGAACGCCCGCTGCCGACCCGACACGCCGATGCAGGTGTGCCAATGCCTTCCTGCTGTGCAAAACCGAACACCATACCCAAACTAATCACCAGGTGTGCCAATCGCTTCCTGATGTGCGAAACCAAGCACCGAATCCTTAAGATAATTGGCTATTTGTATTCCAGTCTGATCTAATTAGATGCGTGTACATGTATTATGCCTGCGATCCGCCCCGATCCGTGGCTGACAGATCACCGAGAAGGGGAAAGGGACCGTCGAGGTTTGCGCACACGCCATCGTCCTCGCCCTACGCTCGCCCACGCCGTCATCCTCGCCCTGCGTTCTCCCATGCCGCCGCATCCTCTCCCTCCGTGCCGCGAAGCCGCGCCGCCACCACCCGTACTGAGAAGGAGAAGGTCCACTGACAGAGTCCTCGACGAAAGGACGTGGCCCTGTAGAGGAAGCAGCAAAAATATCCAGGTTTGCCCTCACTCCCTTTTTATTCAGGATGTTTTGAAATTCTACAAATGACCAATAGTCAACTTGTTCGTTATTGTCTCCGTGGGACATGCTAAATTGGTGGAATTCCCAGAAACTTGTCTCTACCAAAATCAAGGGTTCATAATAGATCTACATCAAATCCAAAGGCCCAGAAACGATGTTTGATGGAGGCTTCTCACACCCCCTCACCTCCGCACTCTCCCCGCCCGCATCCTCGTAGCTCTCGGCAATTAGGATCCAATCACCGATCATTCAACCATAAAAAAAGAAAGTCCGGGAAAAAAGGCATGACTACCTCTGCACCGCAGCATCCTCCTGTTGACGCTAGACTCCGGACGACTCTCGCCACCATCGCCGACCTGTTGATGGTCGCCGCCTCCTGCTGACTCACTTGGCCGCCGCCGCCGACGGACTGCACTGCGACTACTGCTTCGAGCCCTGGACGCCGTGCTAGGGCCATGTACGCGCGTACGTGGCACCGGCATCCTGCAAACGGCGGCGACCGGACGGCACAGCTCTGTCAGACCCGCAAACGACGGCGGACGACGACGGCGTACGCGGCGACCAGGACACAGAACCAGTGCCACGAACGCCGCGGCGAGACTTGCCGAGCCTGTCATTCAGATCAGGCGTCGCAAGAGGCTGCAGTCCGTTCGCGAGGGCACTTCTCCAGTCGACAAGGTCACGGTGCCCCACGACGAACGCCGCTCACAGCCCGGCGACCGTCGAAGACACCTACATACGGCGAGGACAGCAGCACCGAGGAGCAGCTCGTCACGTCGTGGACCGTCTCCGTCGCCAGGTGAGCGTGCGTGTGTGCGTACTGGTGCTAGCTAGGTGAACATGCGTGTGTGCGTGCATGGACTGGTGCATGGCACTGTGCTGCTAAAGTTTACTGGCTTCCTTGCGATACTATCAGAAATCTTGCTGTCGCCTATCACATTTGTTGATGGATTGGTCACAAATAATTTGAGAACAATTGATTTCTGGTTTTCTGAGATTTTGTGCTGACATTGACTATCCATTTGTAATAGGTACTATAAATAAAAATCAAAGGTCCTGCGTCATCACAGACTGCTTGTGATACATTAACTAAATGTCTACGTCGAGAGATACACACGATCCACTAAGCGACATTACCAACATCACAGGTATGATTTTACATTGTATTAATTTGGTACCATAAATCTTAATGCTCTTTTCTAGACATTCGATCAGAGTTTAAAAAGTTTGACTTACAATAACTCTACAAATTGATTTTTACAGAGACAGATGGAGTAATATATAACTTTGGGTTGGCTAATTGATTTCCTGTGCTGTGACCATATAGATGAGGCCTGGCGGACTAGGGAACAAAGGAACTTGCAGCAACGAATTCGGCGAGCTGAAATGACCGACGAACAAAGGGAGGAGATGAGGAGGAAACAACGTGAGTACCAACGGCACTACCGAGAACGGAAGAAGGCCGAGTCCCAAAACAATAGCGCTTCTTGTGTTTTGACTGCACCCGGTATAATTTTTCTTTGCTTAGTTTATTATTACTCAGGCTCTTAATATACTCAAACCAATGTTATGAGATGGACCAAAAAAAATGCAGGTACTAATCGTTCTCAGATAGACCAAAACTCGCCAATTATACTGGACAAGGAAAATATCCAACCAACCGCACATGGGAATCATAGCCATGGTGGCATTGGCACCTCAACGGCAATAGGCACTGCTCTATCAGTGGCTAGCGGTAAAGATTGGATACGTGTTTATTATGTGAAAGAGTCTCATTATTTAATTTTTGTAATCTCACAAACGTGACCCTGCAGATATTAGTAACCATACGATGGGCGAAAGGAACACACAACAACGAAAGAGAAGAGCAGAGATGACCGATGAGCAGAGAGAAGAGAATAAAAGGAGACAACGTGAGTACCAACGTCAATATCAAGCACGGCAGAAGGCTCAATTGCAAAATAACAGCACACCAGCTGCTATCAACCAAATAGTGCCATCGTCCTCGCTGGTAGGTTAGTAATATCCGAGACCATAAGGATTTCATCCACCACTTGATATATCATGAACCTTTGTTTATATTCATATCTCAAGGTGCGAATTTGAGCGCTGGATTAGCGACAATAATGGAAACCAATGAGTTAAGCGAGCCTATGGATTGGTTACACGAAATGATAATTATGTTCCAGTAGCGTAGAGCCCCCCTACTTACTTCCATGGCAGGTGCTGTCATCATACACAACATTTTTTGCTATTATATATTTTATTTCCTACTTTGCTTATATTACTTAATATTAAAATAAAAATATTAAATATCTACTATGCGAAAAGACAAATACCTGAGCTACGCAACAACCATGTACATGTCCAATCCAATGAAGAAGAATTCGACCGTGAACTATTTGAACCAGCGCATGATGGTTGGGACGATGATGAAGATGCCATGGACGGTGGCCATGGATTGCACAATGAAAACTTATACGATGATGATGGG